TCCCTAGGAAGGGCAAACCTAACTTGCATCTCTATATGAACTTTCAAAGTACAGCAGAATTAAAAGAGTTTCCATTTATGCACTGCATAGAAAACATGATTTTGCAGAGAGAAACAAAATCACATCACTGGAAAAATTAAACATGCTCTGTTAAGAGGACCTATCAAGCATATGCATGAAATGTGTGTTCCACCCTGTCTCCCTGGCCTAAAATAAGATACCGCATTCATGTTAGCTCTCCTTGTCAGAGGAAGTTTTAAAATCGTAACAGTAATCCTCACTCCGAAACAGCAGCAGAAGAAAAAGTGATAAAACAAACTATGAAGATATGACAACAAATTTATCAGAATGTTTTGTTATTAGGAGCAAGACACATAGACAATAATGCAAAACTGTGACTATTTGAATGAAACAAGGATGATCAATAACTCTATCCTAAACTATCTTCCCTGAAACTATGTAAAAGACAATTATTCACATTTCCCACCTGGTGAACATACTGAGCAGGAAGCATTACGTAACTGCTGGTACCAGACGGTAAGATTGTGGCCCCCGATGTGATCTGATTCACAGCAGAAGCTGACAATGTCGCAATGTTTGATCCAGCACGAAGTTGCGTTACAGGTGCAGATGCCGGGATTAATATCCTCTGTCCAGTTTGGCCAGTTGACTTTGGTACAACCTTTCATTGAAATAAATACAGTACTATACAAAAACATAAATTTGCAACAAGAAATGCAGGCAGCAAAGAGACAATAAGCACAGTGCAAACATCATGAAACGAGAATCTAACAAAATACTGTGTAAAGATCCCAGTGCTTTAACTAATACTTTCTTTCTTTGTGATTCTATAGTTCTTCGAGAATCTAGGCTGCTTCCTTATGGTAAGTTTCAAAACTGTTTTAAGACATGACAAAATACTCTCAGGTAATAAGCCATATCAGTTCTGGACAGACTCAGACTTCATAATGCGCAGTCACTGTAATCAGCTTTCATTTGTACTACTCGACTTTTACTTGTTTTTCAGGAAGACATGATCAGAATTCAGTTTCACTGTATTTGTCATTCCATCAGAATGTCTTGGGTACATTTGGTAAAAACATATTTAGCAGTAAATTTATATTGAGCATTTTTACCTAGTTTTCTGCAGAAAATGACACTTTTGGGTTACACAAACCAGGATTGCTACTTTATTTAAAAACCTAAATTGACTGTCTAATTTGCGATGCATCACCCATCTTATCCTCCTTTGATTTGATCACTGTAACAATATTTAGTGAAAAAACAAATTATGAAGATCTCAAAGAATAAGTTCTCATGCACCATTTCACACATGCTGTTTCTTTATGGCAAGGAGCTGTTAACATCCTCACCGAACCCCTACGCTTGAAGACCAACCTTCGCTGGCTGCTCAAAACTGCTTATAAATATATTCATTGCTATCTTTCATATCTGAAAATCATCTCCTCCATCAGCAATGCAAGCATGTGCCATGCCATTGCAATATGGAACCACCACTACACATGGCCAGTCCTAGCTTATTAATACATTATTTAGCATCAAATGAGATGTGAAGATGAACACAACAGGTGAATTAAGAGGGTAAGCAGTCTTACTGTTTCAAGGTATTATTATAGTTATCACTTGACAACACTATGAGCCAGGTTAGCTCAGTCAGTATAGTGACTACCTACGGGCTGGACGACCGGGGTTCGATCCTAGTTCCGAGGTCAAGAGATGCTTTACTTACTTGACGACACTGCTCTGAGCAAGAGTCAGGAAAGGATCCACCCCAGAATACAAGTCAGACACACAGAACAGTGTTAAAAAGAAAATACATTTGTAATTCTTACCGTACGAACAGCTGGACTAGCAGGGGCTATTGGTACCATTTTGACAGTCTGTTGCTGACTTCGCATAGTAGAAAGGGAAACAGGCTTGCCTCCACTAACAGCACTTACTGGCACAACAGATGTAGTACGAGATTTCCCCGTACTCATAACTGTTGAAGTGTTACTTCCTGAAGAGCTCACTAATCTCACATATTGCAACTGTACAAGATAACAAACACCATTACATTCCTTAAAATGGTTCTAATTTAAGTACTTGATAATATCCTAATTATGTTTAAATTATTATTATACAAATATACATTCAGTTCATATGCATGGTCAGGCAGGTAACTTCAGGTTAGGTTAACCTTTCCTGGCATTGCATCATGACTTGTGCATGATCCAAGTGGCTGTGCATTGCAGTAGCATACCACTAACTCTGGAGTTAAAGTCTTGCCAGCAGCCCCCATAGTACAGGTATTTAATCCCCCTATTCCCACATGACAAAGATTATAAAAATCAAGCACCCCTCAAAACTGTATCAAGATCTTTGACATTCTAAGAATTTGTCATTATATTTGTCCTTGTAATTTGATTACTTTACAATATGTAATAAAATATATTCATTCAAACATGTAGCATAACATACTATGAGAAATCTCAAATCCAGGAATACAAATGAAGATCTCACTGGTTCATGTAGTAGTAAAATTGTAGTATCAAGCATTTCATTGTTTTTGAGCATGTTCACAGCAAAGTTGCAAAAATGTGCCAATCAGTGCTGCCATGTCATCATGTCCATCTGCCACATGTAACACATTAAAAACTGCTGAATGTATTTTGATGAAATTTGGTATTGGGAAATTTTACTAAGATTTTTTATTTAATTTCAACTGTGGTTAAACAGGACAGAAATAAAGAAACTTCAAATGACGACCTACATGTGTTTTTGAGTACAGAAGCAACCTTGAAATAGCATGGGAAAATCTCAGACACCCTTCCGAAAAACCACACGAGACACATCCCTTGGCACCATCTGAGTCATCACCGAGTCTGACAGGCACCAGACACCATTCACATAGGCCAAGTGTTTGGCAGAATAAACAACCTCCAGTAACTAATTATAGGCGATGGCAACCACTAATTGAAAATCCAAGAGGCAACAATAAATCAAACATGCTAGTACTGCTATTCCAAAGTTATTTTCTTTCTTCACTGTCTAATAAGCAGTTGTATTATAAAACAGGAAAATGCAGCACCCCCATTCACTGTTACATTTCAATGCAATGATGTACCTTAACATAATATATAGACTTTACTTTAGTTTCTTTAAATAAATGTAACTTTCACATGTTAGCAACATTTCTGTATTCCTCTGGAAGTGAGAGCACATCATAAGATGAACACCCTCCACAGAAACCTTAACCAAGAAGAACTTCTGTGTTTAATTAGCAGAATTATTCCCCTGAAAGTTTACCTGTCTTCCACCTGGCATCTGAAGTTGAGCTATACTGCCTGATGTTCCAACTACATTCTGAGTGGCTGGTATCCTTATTACTTGTCCAGTTCCAGAAGATGATGTCAGCACTGTACCAGATTTCAAGGCACCCTGGAAAATGAAAAATATAAAAACAGTACAGAATTATGTTTTTGCTAATGATATTTAAATGTAATGCAAAGAAGTTATTTCAGTTTGAAATTCACACAATTTTTATCCATTCTTGAGTAAAATTTAAATACCCACCTTTAAAGTGTCAACATTAAATTTATCTCAACAATATTTCACTGTTTACATTTCTCACCTGTCGAATTATGACTTTCTGGGGACTAAGAAGTGGCTTTACAGTTGTGCTAACAGTACCACCTATTCCTCCTACAGCTGATGCTATGGATACTGCTGATTTCAGTTGCGTCACACCACTCACAGGAGCTGGGAGTATCTTAGTAGGAGATTTTACAACAGCTGAGGCTGGCATCATTGTTATTTTCGCAGGGGACTTCACAGGAGAAGACATGAGTTTGTTTACAATAATACTCTGTAAGAACACAAAGGAACAATTTATAAAAAATGTCAAACCACATATCACAAATGAAACTGCATAAAAAAATCACTAACTTGTTTGGTTGGAGATGATGGTAAAATCTGCTGAAGTTTGGTTGGCGACAAGAGACCCATTTGTTGAGCTTGAGCTAATGTGATTGCCTTTGTTGGACTACCAAGAAGAGAAACATTACTTTGGCCAGTTCCACTACTGATGATCTTAATTGGCTGTCCACTGCAAAATGTCTCTCCAGCTTGGGATGTCGCTAGCATGATAGGCTGTCCTTGTTGTCCATGCTGATTCCCAGTTATAATAACTTTTGCAAAGACCTTAAACAAGAGAGATAATGGAAACTAAACTCTAATTATCTCAGTGATGGTTTTCTTGGTTGTTGATAGAATTTGACTTCAGTTTTGTGTAGAGGCTATAGTGGACCAGCAGAGACCAATATTAAATTCACCTGACACTTTTGTTCTAAACCCTCATAAAAATTTGAATTAGAATTACATCCTGATAATGCATTTTGTGCAAAGAACAGAAAAACTGAAGAAAATATGTTTGAAAGCAATTACGAGAATTAAGGAAGTTATATCCTAACATCACACAGTACAATATGTAAAACTGTTCTTTTGGACTACATCCGTTGACTAAAACTATAAAATATAAAAAAACTACAGTGTTTCAGAAGCTGGAATCTGTTTCCATTTTCAGATAGAAAAGGGGAGAAAGATGACAAAGCGAATCTGTTGGGCTACTTGGTTAAGCTAGCCTCAGACTCAACAGAAATATCATACAGAAAATACATTTGAGTTATAAGTTAATACAGATTAGAGCTTATTTCATTAAACATTTGCAGGAAAGGCAAATTCATTCAAATTATTCTGAGGACAAAACACTCTTCACTGAGTAGGAAAAGCACTCTCTGCAGATGGGAAGTTGCTGCAATAGTAATAAGACAGAAAATATCTGGAAGCCTTCTCAAGCAGGTGAGTAAAAATTTCATATGTGAAAGAATTTGAAAATACTGGTTCTTTCAAAGAGTATGCAAAATTTGGATTTTAGTAGGCATGGAAGATGCAATGGAAAATTCACTAATGCATATTTGCCAAGTTCATACAAAACAAAATACAGTGCTGTGGTTTAAGCTCTTAATACTGAAGATTACATTCTTTGAAATTTACACATAATATGCAGTTGACATTCAGTTGAAACCCTTTGGCCAACACATACAAGAACAGACCAACATTTCATTCATGTTAATAAACTTTAGTCACTGTTCATGATTTACACAGCTGTCAGGGAGTTACCATCAAGATGAAGAATGCAACCTGAATTTTTCTTGTATGACTTCATTCCTGACCCTTTGCTCCCATCTTGAACTTGGTCTCCCTCTCAGGTGCTTTTCTTTCACTTTCATGTTAAAAACTTTCTTGGAGATTCTCTCTTTGTTCATTCTTAAAACTTGTCAGAACCAACTTACATTGTTACTTGCCTTCAAAAGCATTTACCTTTAAATTCTCCCTATTTATTTTTCTTACTCTTTCATATGGTTTCTTCTTCTGTACTTAAATAAACTACAAAATTAGAAAGTTCCACAGCAGTCAAGGATATCACTGAAGGGAATGCTTTGTACTTTCAACCAGTTTTTGTAGTACCTTACACTGGGCAATTGCTCTTTCTACAGCTACTTAATTAATCATGACTTTACAAAATTTATATTAACTTATGGCTTTTCATTAGATTGAACATTCAAGAACTAAACTGTCTTCAAACTACATAAAAAGCAAACTATTCAAATTGTCCTTAATGTTATATCTACCAACAGATTACTTTTCTCAACATACTGATCTTTGCTGGTCTTGTAAAACTTCTAAAGGTCAAGAAAGCTGGGGAACTTCAAACATTTCTGACATGTAATTTCTTTTTAAATTTTCTCCTGTTTTGTAATATTTAGTTTGAATGAATCAATATAAATATAGAAACTCGCCAGGTACATTTATTGTTACACAGTATCAACTAGTAATTCATTTGATGTGATAAACAATATGCACCACTTTTTTGCAACATCAACTTTCACTCTGAAAAAGTAACAATATATGAAAAACTGCATGGCAAACCATAAACAAATAACTACTTTTAAAAGTCTGCTTTATGATCTCAGGTGATTACAAATAAATTATTTTGAAATAAATTTGCTGGACTGACTTCTTTTCACAATTTGTTTATACTAAAGATCATATGAAAAATCTATTATGTGTAAGCAATTTATGAAATCCTAAATTTCAATACTTCATATAAATATAACTGGCATGAAAAGCCAAAATAAATCCAGTGCCCCTTTCCTCTTTTATATTTCAATCAACATGATACACCTTAAAAATAGTAAATTTAGAGCATTCACACTCTTATAACCAATGAAATGGTGATCTCTGAACATAAAAAATAAACACAATAGTGCATAGTTCACTTTTTACTATTTGGAATTAAAAAGATGAGCTCATTTCAACAACCAACCACCACAGCTATAATGATGGTGATTATTATTACTAACATTCCTCATCTGCCCCGCTGTTCCAGTAGCTGGACGCTTTGTGGTTGCTTGGAGAGGTTTGATTCCTTGAAGATTTGCAGTTGTAAGATTACCAGCTGTACTCGATGTCATAACTGGCCTATTTAGATTAGCAGGGCGCAACTGAACAATGTTTCCATCTGCTGATTTGGCTGTAACTAATGTCTGACCTAACGATTGAAACTGAGGCACCGAAGTAATGGCAACATTGCTAGACATTCCTGCAATCTTTCCCACAATTTGCCCACCACTGACTGTCACATGAGTAGGAGCCAAACTTGGTGAAGTGATAACACTGGCACTTGAGGCAACAGGAGACTGTATTACAACAATTGAAGAACCTGGAGTTTTTGAAGCAACTGTTGATGTGAATGTAAGGTTATTACTGACTGATGTAAATTGTGTAGCTGAAATTTCTTGCTGTTGTAATGGATCCTCTGCTTCAGGGGATGGTGAAGACATTCCAATCTCATGCATGTCCATGTCTTCCACCGTTGTCGTGGTCTCCTCCATAATTTCAGGTAAGATAGCTTCAGGTGAATGTGCCACAACACTTCGCCCATGGTCTTCACTCACAACAGTCACCACAGATTCTACAGTTTCACCCACAGCTAAGCTGTCTGCACCACCTTCTAAATCCTCTCCTAATGTCTCCTCAACTCCAACTGTTGAGTTAAGACGGTCCAGTTCTGCCTGAATGTTGACTAATGTCTCCAGATCCGATGATATAAATTGATCACTATTGTGTGGCAAAGTAAGAGCACTCAGATCTCCATCCCCTAGAGCTCCAGCATCCAATCCTAGAGTTTCCACAACTGCTCTTGCCCCTCCTAAGGGTTTTGTTCCACCTATTTAACATAAAACAATATTTAAAGCATATTAAAAACGTTTTATTCTTCAGCTTCTAAATCTTTTACAAACTGAAACTATTTCAAGGTCTACAGAGGGTAGAGAAAAAAGCATTCTACTGTTCACTTGAATACTTTCTTGTGACATTTACATGACTTTGTAATATTCTTCACAGAAAAGACAAAACATTTCACAAACCTACTATTAATTCATTAATTACTGTCATATACCAGTCATTCCGAGGTCTGCTAGACTGTCTTATACAACGTACATTTAGCATTAATTTGAAGATTTGATTACACAGAACTATCACTTTCAGTGTACCACATCCATGTTAAACGTTGTCGTCGCTCAAATATTCACAGAAAATCTCTCTCAACTAAGCTGAAATCGCAATACAGTCTATATTACGACAACTTTCACGATACTAAAGCTCATCATGTAAGCGCCATTTACGCAAGGCTAACAACGCAGCCGAGCTCAAATGACGCGCCATTTTCTGCCAGCAAGGCAGGGAAATTTGAAACATTACGATGAACTATAATCATTTACCACATATTTATGACCAATAAGTCACAGCTTAATATATGTAGAATGTATTTCACTCACACATACTGCAGTAACATTCTCATTCAACCACATATTTTTCCTTTCAAGGGAAGCTAACCTCTAGAAAGAGACCTAAATTTCAGCGCTAAGATGAAGCAAGAAAGGGTGGGGGCATGTCGAAAAGCTACGAAAATTTGCAAAACTAATGGCCAAAAATCAAACGTGGTTCATTATAAACCATCATTGGTTAGTGCTTCCTTTAATATGCAATTTAACTGGGAGTGATAGCAACATATGTCCTTTTTACCTGTATCTGGAGCTGGCATCCTGTATTTGTTCAAAATCACGCGCCCACCATTACCGTCCCATAATGCACTGTACCGCCGCGTATGAAAAGGCCCAAAGGTCGTTGTTCTTGAAAATGTTACATTTGATTCTATCGAATTCGCTCACTCAAACCGTGTTATGAATTTTTAGATTTTATAAGTATTGTGCCACATCTATCTTCAGTTAACCAATAAAAATATAAGATGTCCAGGAAATATCTAATTTGCGCTATTTTGCAGCTTCCGCGGTGAATAACACAGTAGCCAATGATGACACTTTTCTGTGTGATCAGATCCAACAATAAATATGGCGGTCAACGTAATGAGTGTGAAGCAGCAACTAGCTGTTTTAGCGACAGCCGGTGGCTCTCACAAAGACCAAGCAGAAAAGTAAGTATTCTCTATATAAGTAAACACACATAAATTACACCGGGGACCCCTACCGGTCTGAAGAGAATATATATAACGAACAATTTGAGTTTGTTGCTCAGAACATAACCTAACCGACATGATATAAGGATGTGTTGCAAAATAATTATCGAAAAACTGTATTTTTTAGGTACCGATCCATCTTGGATGTTATTTTGACATCATCAGGAGATGATTTAGCTGAAACTTTGAAAGTCTTCATTGAAGCAAGTATGACCAGCTTTCTTATTAAATTTACCTAATTCTTTATAAACATCCAGCTTCAAACGTTTATCAAATATTTCTAAAAAGGAATACTGTAATTCTTTTCAGTTGTAAATGAGAATGTGAGTTTGGTAATATCTCGGCAGATTTTGACTGATGTAAGCACCCAGCTCACAGTGCTCCCTGATGCTATATCTAAAGCTGTTTCACACTACACTCTAGACAAGGTAACTAGTTTGTATTATTAAAAATCACACTTGTTTATTTTGAGTGTAGCATCTAACTTCAGTGCATTCAAACTTTTAAATCATTACTGATTATCTGCTTGATTTTCCATGTTTATGTTAATGTCCCATAAGTTTGTTTTCTAATTGTTGATTAGGCTACATTATTGCTATAAAAATGGCTGAAAACTTGTCTGTTACACTAAGAATAATTTTATGCAAGGTACAACCTCGTGTGATCTCTTTTGAAGAGCAAGTAGCAAGTATTCGCCAGCACCTTGCAGATATTTATGAACGTGAACAAAGCTGGAGAGATGCAGCCAGTGTTTTGGTAGGAATTCCTTTGGAAACTGGACAAAAGTAAGAATCTTTTAAACACTTGATGTTTGTTATTACCATCACTTTCACACACATACACTATTTTCCACTTTCCAAATGTTTGTGAAACTGCACGTTTCAGCCATGCAAAATCAGGGTGCTTGTCACCTCTGAACAACAGGAAAATATGTTAAGAACACTTTCAGGATTCTGGCAAATGAAGAATTTTTCATAGCTCATAATTGCCCCACAGTTTATGTTTGAAGGTCTTTATATGAAAGTTAACCCATTATAAGGGGGAATAGCTGCCAATAATGTATATCAATCTGGTACCAATTTCTAAAAGAATGTAAAGTAATAAATAAAACAAGTTACTTCTTTCAGTTTTCCCTCATCATTTTCTCTGTGCAAAGTGGAACAGATTTTAAAACTATGCATTTAAATGACTGTACTGTACTGTGAATGGTCTGCTATAGATTATGGCACTCACAAGACATGCAACCAAATCATTGTTAACATCTCATGCAGACGTTAATTTAAAACGATCTGCTTCAGTGTCTGTTTATTGGTGCCACCAAATAGTGTGTGTATACCCACTGAATGGGAACTGTTTGGACATATGTTAAAGGCAGGTTTTCCTTTGAATGATTTTTTTTGTGTCATAGGCAATATTCTGTGGACTACAAATTAGAAACATACCTGAAGATTGCAAGACTGTATCTAGAAAATGATGATCCAGTGCAAGCAGAGGCATACATAAACAGAGCATCTTTATTGCAGGTAATTACTACTTTCTTTTTGCAAAATCATGTTAAAGTATTCATTTTATATATACACTTAGTAATAAAGTACTTGTGCTGCACATTAATTTTCAGGCTGAATCCAAAAACGAACAGTTGCAAATATATTACAAAGTGTGTTATGCCAGAGTATTGGATTATCGTCGTAAGTTTATTGAAGCTGCACAGCGCTACAATGAACTGTCATACAGGGGGATCATTCATGAAGACGAAAGGATGACAGCATTACGGAACGCTTTAATATGTACAGTCCTTGCTTCAGCTGGTAGGTAGTGGTACATGAGGCAAACAATATTACTTTTATCTGAAAGAGAAAGTTTTGGGAGGCAAATTTGTTTCTGCCCAACTGAATTCAACCACATTTTTATGCCATTTTCATGTTGGACAGGTCAACAGCGCAGTCGAATGCTTGCAACATTGTTTAAGGATGAAAGATGTCAGCAGCTGCCAGCATATTCCATCCTGGAAAAAATGTATCTTGATCGAATTATCAGACGATCAGAGCTTCAGGATTTCGGAAACATGTTGCAACCACATCAGAAGGCTTCAACTACAGATGGTATCAAAATAAATATGGCATTAGACCACATACGATTAACATCACTGCTACATTCATTACCCTTGCAGCAGGATTTAGGGTTTAGCTAGATGATGTACGAGATCTTGAAATGTTTGCCTTTAAAAAGAAATCTGTGCTGTTTGGTTCCTAGTATTTCCTGATACCAAAACAGCTATATGAATTATATACTACTATTATTATTAAATAATTTACTAAAAAGAGATTGGTTTAAACATGCTCATCCCTCCATTTCAGGTTCCACCATTCTAGAACGGGCTGTAATAGAACATAATCTCTTATCAGCCAGTAAGCTGTACAACAACATCACATTTGAAGAGCTAGGGGCACTCTTGGAAATTCCTCCCATTAAAGCTGAGAAAATTGCAAGTCAAATGATAACTGAGGGGAGGATGAATGGTTATATTGATCAGATAGACTCCATTGTCCATTTTGAAAGTAAGTTGCTTATTTTCCATAAGTTATTAAATGCCATAAATGGTCACTTGTTTTTAAAAACTTTAAGCCCATCTACAAGAAGCAAACAATACTTCATTATTTTTGCAGACTGCACTGTGAAATGTATATGCATGTTCTAATATGTTTGTGACATGAAGTACATCAACACAGCAAATTCATCTTGCTTTCACTGCATAAAATATAGTTCAGAGGGTTTTGAAATTAACTTGCCTTGTAGTGTCAGGTTGTAATTACATTAAATGCCATATTAAACTATTAAACAGCAGTGATTTCAGTCCCTTAACCCTTCCCTGGCTCAAGCACCAAAAAACACCTTTCTAGGATTTGTTTGGGGCCAAGGAGCCCAAAAGTACCTTAATTTTCTAGCACCTTCTGCAGGACTGACTTTTGGTGCTAACACAGTTATGTCTGTTCTGTCAAGAAGGCAGTGAGTGAAGAATCATATTTTTGTGACATGATATGAAATACAAGGCTGTAGATTCATCATGTGGAAGTATTGCATAGGAAGCCTGCATCCACTGGTAATTTCACAAAATATCACTATCAGGTGATTGAGATTTCTGCTTCATATTCAGGATGTTCCAGTTTAAAATCTTGGTGGTTTTCCTCAGTTTCCCCAGATAAATGCCAGTATAGTTTCATTAGGGTTTGCCTTTAAAAAGAAATCTGTGCTGTTTGGTTCCTAGTATTTCCTGATACCAAAACAGCTATATGAATTATATACTACTATTATTATTAAATAATTTACTAAAAAGAGATTGGTTTAAACATGCTCATCCCTCCATTTCAGGTTCCACCATTCTAGAACGGGCTGTAATAGAACATAATCTCTTATCAGCCAGTAAGCTGTACAACAACATCACATTTGAAGAGCTAGGGGCACTCTTGGAAATTCCTCCCATTAAAGCTGAGAAAATTGCAAGTCAAATGATAACTGAGGGGAGGATGAATGGTTATATTGATCAGATAGACTCCATTGTCCATTTTGAAAGTAAGTTGCTTATTTTCCATAAGTTATTAAATGCCATAAATGGTCACTTGTTTTTAAAAACTTTAAGCCCATCTACAAGAAGCAAACAATACTTCATTATTTTTGCAGACTGCACTGTGAAATGTATATGCATGTTCTAATATGTTTGTGACATGAAGTACATCAACACAGCAAATTCATCTTGCTTTCACTGCATAAAATATAGTTCAGAGGGTTTTGAAATTAACTTGCCTTGTAGTGTCAGGTTGTAATTACATTAAATGCCATATTAAACTATTAAACAGCAGTGATTTCAGTCCCTTAACCCTTCCCTGGCTCAAGCACCAAAAAACACCTTTCTAGGATTTGTTTGGGGCCAAGGAGCCCAAAAGTACCTTAATTTTCTAGCACCTTCTGCAGGACTGACTTTTGGTGCTAACACAGTTATGTCTGTTCTGTCAAGAAGGCAGTGAGTGAAGAATCATATTTTTGTGACATGATATGAAATACAAGGCTGTAGATTCATCATGTGGAAGTATTGCATAGGAAGCCTGCATCCACTGGTAATTTCACAAAATATCACTATCAGGTGATTGAGATTTCTGCTTCATATTCAGGATGTTCCAGTTTAAAATCTTGGTGGTTTTCCTCAGTTTCCCCAGATAAATGCCAGTATAGTTTCATTAGGCCATGACTACTTCCTTCCATATCCTTTCTAGTTCATTATTCACTATCATCACATCATTCAACATTGGGCTGAATAACTGAAAGAATGGTTTAATCAAAAATACAAGGAAAAAAGATACTATCCATTGGGGAAAATGTACTTGTTTCAGGACGGGAAGTATTGCCAACATGGGACAAGCAAATCCAGTCACTGTGCTATCAGGTGAACCAGATAATTGAGAAAATAACTAATAACGAGCCCGAATGGATCAGCAAAGCCATGGAAGAGCAAATGGTGCACTGAATGAGCCATGCAAAGTACTTTGGTTTTTACCATAAGCAAATCTGTGGCAGTGATACCAATACTCTGTATTTAGTTTGTTGGAAAAGTAAGTTCAGTATTTGAAATATCATTGTGTGCCACAATTCTCAGTATATTTGTTGTTGTGTTATACAAATAAAAGCTAATGTTTCAAATCAAGAAATTTTTTATTGTATTTACAGCTCTCCTGTTCAAAGCCCATTGCATGTTTCACTTATACTTTATTTCATAATTTTCTGTAGATAATTTTTCCCCATAGAGAGGCTTACTTTGTTGTGCACACAAACAAATTCAGAATCAATGGGAGATGTTTATTCATCAAAACTTAAAAATACAAAACAATTGGAAACATACACGCTTACAACCTTCTACTACTTACGCACCATCCTTTCTCATCTTGTTAGCATGGTAGTCACTCCAGATCATACAGCATATGAAGACAAAGTCTCCCTTATTGACTTGTCTACAATCTGTACAGATACAGTTCCTAATAGAAACTAATGTTCACTAATACTGAGGAAATTCAGGTCTTCCTCAGGGAAGGTGGTTGTCTTCTACAAGGCAAAACAAATGGGTCTAAAACGTGAGGCAACATTAACTGCTGGTCATGACAAATGAGTAACAAAAGGAAAGCTCCCCATGGTCTTTACAGATCAGATGTTCCTAATATTGGTCTATTGCACATCTTATAAGTGTTTATTTCACAAAGATGTTCATTTGTTTTGTTCAAAGATGTGAAGATTGAAGAAAATATGGTACCAATTATACCACCAAAGCTTAAAATAGTGGTTTGACAGAATCTCTACATGCAAAAGCTTCTTCCACTCAATATTTCTAATGCATATCATTAGAGTAACAGTTCATCTATACAAGCTTCCCTTAAAGTTAATCAGATGGTTCTCCAAAAAAACAAAACAAAAAGATTCCTATTTCTTTGAAATATAGAAGTTTGTATACAACACACCCTGAAGCAATTACTACTCACTGGAACGCAGTATATTTATTTACTGAGCAGTGGTCTGATTACTCTGAATTACATGTTCAACCTTCCTTTCCACATTGAAAAGTAAGCCAGATGATTCAATTAAAATAAATGCACCACATGTTCAAAAAAGCCATGACTATAACTTAAAAAACTTGTTCCTCTAAAAACAAATTGCCATGATGTTTAAATACTTTACTTTCTTCAAGCTTCACAGCATCTTTAAGTCAAAAGACCACAGTATGAAATGCATTAAGCCTCCAGTTCCAGGGCTGCACCAATCTTATGGCCACCTTGGTTGATATTCTTGCCATCAATTAACACTGACAAATATAAAGAGACTCCTGCAAACAAAAATTACTTCATTATTTTGAAAACATAAACAAAGAAAACGTGAAAAAAAACCCAGCTATTTCTGTTGGACTATTGCGATATGACACACTGCAACAGATGCAGCATCACTGACATTAGTCCAACACTCTAGCCCTTATGCAGCCCAACTCTTTTTTGACAGTGTAAGAGCTGGCATAGCTGAAGGGTCACTTGTAGTTTAACAAGAAATAAAGCTTGTGGTATAATTAAGTGTAACAGTAATAGTCAAATAGAATTAAGGAATGATGTATCTAACTTCAAGAAAGTTCCATATAAAACTCTTATATCACAAAACTCATTGATTCCATGGGGTACTACATTATCATCTATGTAAAAGTGCTGCTAGTGGAAGTTAAAGAAAACTTTAATCCCCTGTAACTTTCTATGTAAAAGTTGTAGTGCATCCCTTGTTTCAAGTTTTACCACATATATACATGTACTTTACTGTTTTAAAACTCTGTTTAGAACATTTCATACATATACCAACAAGAAGTCTTTTTTCTCATATAATTTTTAGAAAACATGCAGTGGGTTAATAAACTCACTTTTTTAAAGAGTGATTTCATTCAAAACATTCATTTTCTTGAAAAATATAAAACAAAATCAGGTACAATGATATAAAATTTAAAAATTTGAATGAAGATGAAGGACCGACAATTATAAAACCTTGAGGAAACAAATGTACAATATTTTCCAATGCTGCAATAGTAAAAGTATCAGGAAATGCTATGCAACTTTTACTACTTAGTAATCTGAAATTAAAACAACTTTTTTAAGTATCAAACTTTAAAACTGTCTTACTTTTTATTTTGGGCTGTATATTGCATCAATCATTCATGCAAACTTGTAATATGGATCCTACCTTCACGAAGCTTTTGCTGGTATCCAAGACCTATTTGGCTCAAATTGTTGACCTTGGCTCTGACTGAAGTATCACTGCCCAGATCATATTTGCAGCCAATTCCAAATCTAGTCTCATTCGATCCTGCAGTCCAATTTAAATCAATAGCAGTATCTAGCTTTGGATTCACTTTTTGGTAGATGGCTCCACCAAAGTCTTTACCATCATTCCTGCCATAAAATATTAAAGAGGTGAAAAATACATACTGAAGAAAACACATCACATCATATGATAAATAAATTGTAAAATATAGCTACTTACACATTAGTATGAAGGATGAAGTCCCCAGAAGAATAACCCAATGCAAAGTTACTTTTTGTAAGCTTAGATTTTTGAGAGTCAAATCGTGACTGATAACCAACCAGCCAGCCTGAAATTTGTTACAAAACAATTAATGCAACTTTTATATTCATATGACTGCTTAACTTCCCTAATCATATGTACCTTCACTTTTTTCACGTACATTACTCACGTATGACAAAATAAGACATATAAAACTTCACAAAGGGCCAATATACATCATAAACTGAACATAGCAATTCAAAAATTGTAGACAGTTTACCAAAGGTCACAAATATTTCCTTTCTTCCTTATATTACAAATACCAAGACATACAACATACGAAAATCCTATATTCTCTTCTGAAAGTAATTTGCATGTATATTACTTTCATAACATTATACAGCACATGAAAATCTCGAAAGAACTCCATGAAATTCAGTACTGCAACAGTAAATTACGTAATTCTCAACAAGCCTCTCACCGTTGTAGCCCAACACAGCAGAGGCTAATAAGATAGGACCAGCTGTATCCAAATCAACATCAACATTCAGGGCAGTAATATCATTCCTAAATTCAGTCTTGATGCGTCCTGTCTTACTTCTGCAATTTAAAGGAAACCTCATATTAATACGTGTATATCCAGCAATGGATTTACTTATATTCTTAAAAAAGGTATTGCTGAGTAAGATCCTCATGCTGCCCATTTTCATTCTGCAAGTTAAGGAAATTGTCTTAAATACAAACATAGTTTATATGTTTAAAACCAGGTAGTACCTGCTACAGTTGTTCATACTGTAAAGATAATGATGACCTTACCCTGTCTGGGGTGCAAATGAGCTGTCAAATGATAATTTCAGTCCCTTAGCAATATAATCCTGAATAGAAATTTCTGTGGCCAGCGTGTTATCTGTATTCCACTTCTCTGAGAAAGTAAGACCTGTAGAACAAACAGTCAGAGGCTACAAAAGACATCACAGTATGTATTTCCACAAACCTTCTCATGTGTACACATGTACTGTGTTTGGAAGTGAGCAATGTTGTCTACTGGTAATGTTACATCAGCATGTTTTAAAAATGTTGTAGTAAAGTATATAAATGTTTTTTAACCTTAACATATGTATGGCACTTAAATCTCATTTATGAAAAAGTATTACCCTACACAGAATTTAATGGTTAATTATTACCAACGGCACTTTCCAACTTCCAGATTCGTTTAAAAGGCTTAAAATTATTACAGTCTGTCTTTTGTTTGCCTAATTATAAAATAAAAACTATACAAAATCCCACTTTACAACCAACAATAAAATAGAGCCCAACCTATTTAAGATGAGAAAGGCATCTCAGTTGGTATAGTAACTGACTACAAGCTGGATGATTGTGGATCAATTCCTGACAGGGGCAGAGGATATTCTTCTAGCTCCTACTCTGGGACCCACCCAACCTGTCCAATGGGTACCGGCAGTCCTTTCCTCGGGTATAAAGTGTGGCGAGGGCATGACGCCAACCATTCAACCCCCAACTAGTGTCAAGGTTGAGAATGAACAAGAGCTATCTCCAACACAGAGATGACTGACATCATAAACGAAACAGTCGACATTTTACTAGCTTAAGCCAAGATACTGTTCTCTGTAGGTACATTTTCTTGTTTCTGTATCTCTGTGTATGTAAGTACTTTATTCAATAACCTGCAACTGTTTTCAAACAAGTGTATTTGCATACTGTATGTTAGTTACTCATAGAAAATGCGAAGAAAACACTTTCATAACAGACAATTGCTATGTCAAACAGTGAAAAAGGGGTAGATAAGTAACTGCTGTAGCAGAATTCTTGGAAGTTTACCTGTTACTGTATATGGTTTACTTATTCTCTGTTGTGTTCTTTCCATTTTCAAATCAACACCCCTCCCAATAACAGGTTCATTTACTACAACTGCCTGGATATGGAATGCTGCCATTTACAAACACCACTGACCACAATTAATAACCAAACTTCCTCCCCCAGAATGGTTTGTAACCCAAGTATAAATAAAATGTTATACATTTCAAACTTCTACAGTATTATTAAGATAACTTTAGAGTAATAATTTAGTGTAATGATTTTAAGATGAAGCACAATTCAGTCACACTAAACACAGGTTTCAACACTACTTATATTTTTGAAACAGGTCACCTCTTCTTTGTAGTATACCTGCCATGGGAGGAAAGGTTCATGAGGGGAAGAATGAACTTGAGGGACCTGTTCATAATGGTGTCATGTGAGAGCCACGTTTTTAATAACACTTGAGTTTTAAGATGACAAATCAAGTCCCAATAGATCCATGGTTAGTTAGGACTTAAACCATCACTACACACAGTTGGAAAACATGAAGTGGAATTCAGAGGATGATAAGCTCAGGAGGGAAAGGAAAAAATAGATATTGTGTTATCTAGAAGATAAGACATAGAGTTTGAAGAATTCAATTTGTTTTTACATAAGACAGCGACCAAACTTTCATCACATGCAAGGACAATATACAGCAGAAGATATTCTAATTAAGACTTCAGGAAACATTAATTAACATCCACGTAATAATGGGACATTCACTTTGAGAGGCTACTGAACTATATGGTGTCTAAAAAACAACCATCTTTATACCTATTGCAACTACAGACTTTATAATTCGGGGCATGATACCTATGCTATAAATATTTATTCCACTGTTTTACAGGCACTTTTCTGCAGAAAAGAGATGAAAAACGTGACCCCCACTCCTAGTAGTCCTATGGAAATGGTACTAAGCATTTCACAACACCCTTCTTAAGGTATTGATGAGATTATCTTTTTCAAAATGATATTAGCTGGTGTAAAAAAAATGCAAAATATGTGCACTGCTGTGCTATAATGGTGTGCATTTCCACCCACGAGGCTTTCACTCTGCCAACTCATGTTGTTTCATGCCTTGTTTATCAGGCAAGAAGTGCACATAACAATATTATTCAGCAATGCCAACATGCTATGGGCAAATGCATATGTTACTGAAACTGGATGCATATATAACAGTTATCAGTCCTACATGTAACCATTGCATTAAATAAAGAAATAGTAAATCACTGTAACATACCATAATCAGACACTTTGTATTTAGTCTCCAATGACCCAAACACCTTTCCAGTATCCTGGTTTGAAGAACCACCTGATGAAAATTCAACACCAGACTTAGTTTTTGTTTTGCAATCCAATTTTAGAAGCCCAAAATGATAACCCTTGTTGAAAACATCACGGGCATTTTTCCCCAAGTCGTTGTATGGTGGCGGCGACATTATCTGAAAAACAGAAACGTGTTCCTATACTTTCACTTATCACCCTGTAATGTATATACCTAAGAAATGTGTGCCACAATTATACAAGTGATATGATGTCAGTACAGTGACAGACAACAGGCTGGACAACTGTGGTATGATTCCTAGCAGGCGCAAACATTTTTTCTCTTAGCTTTCACATCCAGACCTACTCAGACTCATATCCAATGGAAACTGGGGACCCTTTCCCCAAGGGGTTGACATATCAGGGCAGAAAGCTGAACACTCAACTCTATTGAAAAGCTCAAGAAAATGTGCAGCTAAACATCCAGTAACCCATAAATCTTGGCATGGTACTTAGTACATACCAGGTGCAAACTTATGGGAAAAGCCCACACAGCTCAATTAACTTCATTCTCTGATAAACATGATTGATCTTTGCAATTCTACGGGAGAAAGAAGCAAACCCAATTTTCAATAATTAATAATGTTTTCAGTGTAATCATACAAAAATTATGGTTATCAATACAAGGCCAGTACAATAATATAATCTGTGAAGCAGGTGAATAACAAAAAGACTCCAGTGTAATCTTCTTTCAGCTCCCAAAAATAAACACAGTTTCAAGTTTGTTTGTGTTATCCTTGGGCACACTACTGTCCTTAAAATGCTGGCTGATTGTGCATTACATGTATTAGTAAAAAAATAAGAAAACGGCTGGCTGAATACTCCATTACCATCACACCTTCTCATTCTACCAAATGCAACATATATGTCCAAGATAAATAAACCGCAGTTTAGAGAACTGGCAATTTTGAAAGAAAATACACGGGCTTGAATAAATCGGCCATCACAGTTCTTGACATGTACGCTATAAACTTTACTGACTCTGTACAGCTTGGTTTGTGGTGTATAATATTTGGCTGCAAATTATATTAACATACCTCGTGCGATGATAAACAAAATATTAAAACGTATTTAAAAATGAGATGACATAATCTGCAGCACTCGCAGAGGCTTTTAAAATCGTCACCCCTTTAAAATGTGTTTTCATTACAAACACAGACGGCCACAGTTTTCCCGGTGTAGGGTTTATTTGGCACACAGAACACACATTTATTATCCGACATACTGTCCTCTCACATTACCCTCGCCGGCACGTAGCCAGCTAGCCAGCCAGCACGCAGATACGCATCACTTTGCAGAAGATTCAAAGTGAACGCTGACGTTCCCCATACAATTTTTATACACAAAAATATATACGTTAAAAAATGAGCTGGTTACTTACTAGGTATTTATCAAATATACACTACTCAATTGGAATTCTCAATTTCTCTAAACCTACACACCAAGAAGATGTGCAAAGGGACTTCGCACTTGCGCAAGAGACCTTTGATACACATATGGGATCGAGATTATGTATCAGTTCAGTTTTAAAATCAATAACGTAAATCCAATATTTTTAAATAAATACTATTTACTTTGTTTAATATGTCATAATTTATAAATATTTTAAATATATTTAAGAATAACTTCCATCTCAAACCCAAATCACCACTATACAAAACTTAGGTGGGGGATAGGTATAGCCTGCTGAATATGTTCCGTTTCATTACTGCATGGTCAATACACCACCCAGCGGGAGATTCAAATGTACTGTAAAATTCGATTAGTCAGCAACACTTATAGTACGCTATATGTGCAGGAAACGACAGTCAAGACGGGAAGTAAGAGACAGTGCATGCACCAACTTCCGCTTTTCATTGAATAATGTTGGCTGAAATCAATACATAACACGGATAACTTCAATAACAAGTCTTTGCATACCAATTTTATTGCTTATGATAGAGAAATGGAAAATATTAAATTACCCATTAGCCAGGGTTCCTTAATGCCAAAAACCACACTTCCATTAAAAGGGCACGTGTCTTCAGATATATTTTCTTAACGCGTTCATTGAACCAAAATATGGTCACTGGATGTGTGCTTTCCACCTTATTTGTGCGATAACGTAATTTGGTAGTAATTTTTGAAAAAAGGACGAATTATTGACCGAAAAGCGAGATTTATAACAAATACCAGTAAAACAGTAATCAACAATGGTAACACCTACGATCTTTACCTCATTCATGTTTCTCATCAGAAGTAATTAATGTGGGATCACGAAAATGTAAACAGTGAATTTTTGCGTGGGAGATGGAAATAGATATAATAATAACAACAATAATAGAAACAAAGTGTACGTTAAGGATTCTCCATCTTGAATAAAGACGGGCTACTTTCAATAAA